GCCGATAAATAAGTTCAAACCCTTCAAGTCGCCGGGGATCGATGGCATCATACATGCCCAGCTGCAAAGGTCTTTGAAGGTATCGTGCAATTGGTTGGATCCTATTTATGCGAACTGCGTGAGGACCGGGTACATCCCCAAGGATTGGAGGGTAGTCAGTTTGCTTTCATCCCGAAGGCCGGAAAAGGTTCACATGTTTCCCCTAGAGATTTTAGGCCTATCAGTCTCTTCGGTTTTGTTAAAAACGCTAGAGAGACTGATGGACCTGTACATATGAAACGCAATTCCTCGTGAGTGTCTTTCAAGAGCTCAATATGCTTATGCAGTAGGTGCCTTCTTCGATGTCGAGGGGGCCTTCAACAATGTCACTCCAGAGGCAATAGTCAAATATATTCATAATCTGGGGGTTGAAATCAACCTAATAAGCTTACTTCGTGACAGAACTGTCGCGGTAGAGTGGGGAAGCGTTTGCACTTAGTGCAGAGTCAAAGGGAGTAGTCCAAAAGGTGGTGTTCTATCTCCCCTGCTCTGTTATATCTCTCTGCGGTTGCAGGCGACCATCTAGAGGAACTGGAAAAAGTGGGCTGTCGGGTAATCGCCTATGTAGACGATGTGCATCTTTTGGTTAAGGGAAGATTTCTATACACCGTTTTTGGTCTGGCTCCAGGTTACCTGGACAAAGTAACTGGGTGGGCGATCAGCGGCGGCTGTTGTAAAAGCTTAACATTAAGGAAAGGGTAGAAAAGGTGTCGGTTGCCTTGTATTGCTGTAAGGGAGTTATCGGTAAAAAGTGCGGTCTCTTGTCCAAATTAATTCATTAGCTCTAGGAAACCAGATTTAAGCCTATATAGTTCCAAGGAACCCTTGTTGGAATTGTCCCAGCACAAACAGCTATTAGGCTAAAGGAAACTGGGTCCTTTTGTGAGATAAAGAAGGAAAAGAAGAAGTTCCTCTGCTGCATCAAATGTTTTTATTGCGCACTTTAAAACACGTTACCTCTCAGGGACTTGTGATGGGGGTTCTGAAAGGTCATTGTGTGGTTGGTATTCATGCGGTGAGACTAGGAATTTCGACTGATCCTTTTGCAACATCTGTCAAGAGGAAGATGAAGTGGAATCATCTCCACACTTTCTTTTAGACTGCTCTGCTTTAGAGCTCTCAGGGATGGAAATTAGCCGCATTCGAACTTTCGCGTTCAGTTCGCGGCGTTAACTTAACGCAACCAAACCTGTACTTCTTTGAGCTATGAAATAGTTGGTCACATTACACATGCATCATTGAAATGATAGAAAAAACAAAAACTTTTTTTATATACATATGTACGAAATTTATAATTTTTTTATGAAAATTTTTTTTTAAACGCTTGTCAATAGCATTTTCAATCTTTAGAACTCACCCAGAAAATAGCTTCTGATTTCTTATTCTGCGGTAGAATCCCAGTAATAAAAAAATTACAAATTATAAAAATTTTGAAGTTATCAAGTCGGTGGTCCTATACAATAACGACGCAATTCAAAATTTAAAAAATAAAAACTGTTACCCCTGTTAAGAAGCTCTTGTCCCTAATCCTTGTCTAATCCATTTCCATCCCTCACTAAAGGATGCAGTAAGGATTGCTAAGGTAAGTACAAAATAGTAGACATGGATTCGACAAGGATTAGAGACATAAGCCACTTAACAGTAGTAACAGTTTTTATTTTTTTTTTTTTAATTTTGAATTGTGTCGTTATTGCACGGGACCATCGAAGTGCACAAAATTGGACTATTAATGTTTGAAAAGTCCCCCAATCTGAATCAATGGTAAGAATAAGCGAAATTTCAGTTTAAGTTCAAAAAAAACGCCAATGAATTCACTCACAAATCCATTTTTCAAATTGCTGACAATTATTCGAATTAAGTAGACGAAAGACTAAAGACACCAACTTTATTTTTTTTTTTTTTACACAGAAAATGAAAAATTGCCGAATAACGATAGGGTTATCAAATAATCATCCTTAACGTTAAGTTCTTAAAACTTTTGTTCTCGTTTTGTTCTCTAGCAGAAATTTCCACAGACCTTTGTTCTTATTTGATCCTCCTCGAAAACCTTCTCAATACTTTCGTTCTCATTGGAAACATCCCCGAAAGCTTTGTTCTCATTCTGTTCTTCTTTAGAACGTTCTTGAGAATTTTACCCTTTTTGAGAACGTTTCTTAGAGTTTTGTTCGCATGTTGTTCTTTACGAAAACGTTTCTCATTTTGTTCCAGTTTAAACTGTTCTCAATACTTTTGTTCTCGTTTGGTTCATTTGCGGGAATGTTCTTGGCATTCCAAAAAAGCCCCGATTTAATTTTTTTTAATTTCCATAACAAAAAATGGGCGAGACCCTTCCGCTTTTCTCAAAACTGGTAATTGGTACTAAAAATCCGGGGTTTTTGAGAAATTTCTAACCTGTACAAAAATACCGATACTCCTACAAAGTTTCAACAAATTACGACCACTTTCTTTTTCTTCATTTATCCATTTGTGCATCCGCGAAGGGGTGGTAGTCCATAGATTTTAATTAATTAAAAATAGATCATTGTGTTGCGGTAATTTTTATTTTGATTAAAATATTTTTCTGAACAGCATGGAAGCTTTTTCTGCTTGGGCGGAATTTCGTCCACCTAAAAATAGAGCAAGATTGACTGAGCTAACATTCGCATATATGTAAATACCCAAAAGCATTCAAGTATCGCATCCTTTTATAGAAATCCTTGAATCCTTGAGAAAAGCCAAATTGGAACGGTTAGACGATGCGCATATTTGCTGCTCGGCCACCACCCTCTGGCATGCAGATCGCCAATGCAACAGCCGCCCCCTTAATTCCAGCTGAGCATATTCAAGTTTCTAAGCCTGAATAAGCCATCTGTCTGTCGCAGACAACCAACACGTATTCCGCAAGGCATATAGTACAACAACAGCAGTAAATGCCATCATCTCACAGATAAGCGAGGGTCTAAACTAACGTCGACCATATAAAAGGTCGCTCTACACCGCGATAGACATTTCGACAGCTGTCGTCATAGCCAATCACGCGGCGCTCTTTCAGAACATCTTTCATTCGTCCCTTCTACATCGGACATCGTCGGCCGAACTCCGCAAAACTAAGAGTAATCCGCATTGGATTTGACTAGAGGTACCCAATGATGTCATTCTCTGCACGACGCTGTTTAATCTTTACATGGCCAATTTCCCTCCGCCGCCAGATCGAGTTACTTCAGTCACCACAAAAACTAGGTTTTACATACCACAGCTTGTGCTCCTTTTCCAAGCACACTAACTTACCCCACTTGTACTTATGTTATATGCTTTGTGTGAGGAACACTTGTTAACAGCAGTTGGGTTGGCAGGAACCAAGGACACATCATGGAGGAAACATCGACAAACTGCGCAGAACAGTGGTCTACGCTCAGTTACGGCCTACCATCTCATGTCCTCGGAACCTCACCGCCACAAAGACAAACTGGATGCTGGTGGCGAACGTGCACAACGCGTAGCTTTCAAAGGAGTTCCATTGTGATACCACCGTGGCAACGAAGACAGCGGTAAGCACAATCGGCCCAAGGTAGACTACCCCACATTTCTCTTACCCCTCCACATCGCGACCAGCCTCTCAAGGTACGAAAGTAGTAAAACTGAACTGCAACGGCATCCAGAGCAAATCTAAGTCACGCGAAAGGAGGCCAATCGTTCATATTACAGCACACTGTGCAAACTCTCACCCAAACTTTCCGGCGGAACCTTAATTCGGAGATTCGGCAACTGGTAAACCAGCATATGTAAGTGGAAAAAGTAGGAGGAGCATTTGAAGACTTGCAATTTTGCCTCTAGTGTGAGTAAGCTCTGGTCAACCGTGACGTCCTTGTCTAATCCGACGAGACATGACAACAGAGTGAAAACCTCACGCCTCGTCGGACCCGAAGAAATGCGTAAGCTACTTTAGCCGGCACACGGCATGCTTCTGTACATAAGGCCAAGCGTCGTGTGATAAGGAGGCTTCACAAACTGGCCAAAAGCAGTGCACCACTTGCTTTCACCAGCGGTGAAGTCCAGGTGACCAACCGGAAGACGAAAGCCTCCAAAGCCATTGGCCAGAGGAGATTTTAATGCAGATGCTGAAGCATTCGGCTCCGACGGGAAAAGCATGTCACCAAGGTTCTCAGCCTCTCAATGGCTACTCTCATTCATCATTCCTGATGTGTGGTCCTGCTGCTGAAACCAAGGCAGCTAGCCAACAAAGAAATTCTTATCGACCAAGAACGTTCTTTTCCCCGGTCGTGAAGTAACTTTAGGCCTTGCTACTTCCTCATTTCGCATACCACCTGACCCCAGCGAATCATCAGCATGACTTCCGTAAAGTGCTCATAACAACAACAGCATTTAACGGCATAAACACTCAAATAACTCGTGGCCTTAACCGTAACCGCCCCTGTGAGGGAACAGTGCTAGTAGCGTTCGACCTGTCTAAAGGTTTTGACACCATCTATCATTCTACGCATCTAGAGGCTTCTTCTCTTCCACAGGGACTCAAATTTCGGAAACCTTGTCAGATTTTTTTTTCCAAATCAAACTTCAAAGCCTAGAAGAATTAAGCAAGGGATTCACAGGGTGGTGTCCTCTAATCATCTTCTCTTTTTAACTTCTATATCTCGAAGATTACTCTGCCACCGGAGGAAATTTCCCTGATCGCATACGCTGACGACTGCTCGATATTGGCGTCCGGGAAAGGAATTGATTACCTCTGCTCAAAAGTAAACGGCTACCTCTCCGAACTTTATCGCTTCTTCACTGCTAGGAGCCTAACGCTCTCGCCGACGGAATCACCTCTTCACCACCTGGACGACTGAGGCCATGCTTCAACTAAGCATTCACGTCGATGGACAACCAATTCCGACGGTGCACAACCCGAACATTTTAACAGCTTGCTTTCCTTCTCCGCGCGCACCACCGCAATTGTCAATAAAGTACA